CTAGAGCCTCTCACCCTTGGCTTTGGTCGAATGGTTGAGAGTTGGAGAGTTATCCTTTCTCAATCAACTTGAGAGATAATTGCAAGAGTAAGACAAATGAGGGGGGTGTGGGTTTTGTCTCCAATCACTCCCTTGAGCATATGTCCGCCCCTCCCATGTTCTTGTGTCTCATCTACACTATTTGGAGTCTACAACACATGTGGGAAAAGTCCCAAGTGGATGTAGGAAGCTTCCCCCGATTATTTCTGCTATTTTCGGTAGGTTGGGCCAAAATAGCACTCGGGTTGTCCAAATATTTTTATCAACTTTGGTTGGCACTTCATTGGGTTTCTAAAATTATTACGATAACCCAACTAAATATTTAGGAATCCATTCCCATTATTTGGGACCCGACAAATAGTTCGATTAATCACGCATTAATTAAATGTACCAATTCTGTCACACGAATTTATTCGCTAGGAAAATTCAATTACATGCCGAATTTCAAATTCAAGTACATCCGGGTGCGGTGTCACATCATAAATCAACATAACCAAATAAAGTAGATAATTTATGTATTAAATAAATTATACTGGAAACTTAAAATGCAATAAGATAACTTTTGGTATCTTGAAAAGGATATTCAAATCCTACCAGTATTAGTTTACTTAATACATAGATAATCAAAAGAGTGACATAATTAAAGTGTACAACAAATGTATCAAATAATTTGTACTGGAAATTTAAAAAATGCAATAAGGTAAACTCGTATTTACCTTAAAGGATATTTAGAAGATCCTTCCAGTACATATTTTATTTGATAGAATCTGTTATATTCACTCGCTAGAGTAAACTGAGTAAAATATGGCATACGGCTGAAGACAAGATTGATAGCCATTTAATGCTAGCAGTGTACATGGGTCCCTGAACGTGTTGAAATCTCTTCATATAATCTTGAAGTGATCTTTCAGCAGCTAATCAGTGAAGACAAAGGAAATTTCAATATCAGCTCCAACGCAAGAAGATAAGAGTACTCTTCTGTATATGGCTAGGATTAAAACCTCTCAACCAACGGAGGAGATTAATCAACTGGAGATGCCTATAAAAGAAGGCAGATGCATGAGATCGAAAACCAAGTTTTTGAGTCTTCTAAGTAGAGTAATCACTTTAAGCATTCAAGAGATATCTAGCAAAGAGAAAGTGCCCATCTAACTTTGCTCTCTGCTTAGACTCATGCTTCACTAAACTTTTTTGCTACATATACTCATTGAAAATCCGAGAAGTTTAGTTTCTAGTTGGAGTTTAGAACTTTCTTGTTTCAAACCATTGTAAACAATTAGGAGAACTGTTGTTCATCTCCTAAAGTATGGTTAGATAGATAGAGTACCCTTTGATCTCCACTGGATCAATTGAGAAAATCTAAAGGTTTGAGTAACCTTGAGTGGTGCTACTCATTGTGAAACACCCTTAATCTAGGCCTAAGAGTTGTAAAGGCTAGATTGGCACTAAGTGTATTGGGCTGAATACTTTAGTGGAAATCCATTTGAAAGATAATGGGACTGGATGTAGGAGGATTACACCACCTCTGAACCAGGATATACCGCGTGTTGATTTACTCTCAAATTAACAAAGCACACACCAAACACTTCTCACAAAAGGATTGTAGTTTGCCAGCAGCATCCTAAGCAGTATTCTTAATTGACCTTACTGCTTATCCTTCTGCTTAATTACTCACTTTCCTTGAGATAATTTTTCCTCAGGAACCTTTCAAATTTAGCAGTTGCCTCAGCAGTACGCTGGTATCCACCCACCTGCTGAGCCCACTGCTCGTGTACTCAGTTGCCTCAGCAGTACACTGGTCTCCACCTACCTGCTGAGCCCACTGCTCGTGTACTCAGTTGCCTCAGTAGTACACTGGTCTCCACCCACCTGCTGAGCCCACTGCTCGTGTATTCAGTTGACTCAGCAGTACCTACATGTTTACCCAACTGTAGAGCCTACTGCCTCAGTAGACTCAATTGAGTGATCAAGCTCCGTTCACTTCAAGGAGTATTACGTTTTCCAGTTTATCACAAGCCAAATATATTCTCAGCAGTTGTCTCCACAGTACCATACCATCCAGTCAACTGCCAAGCCCACTGCTTACCTTAAAACAATCTAAACATCACTCAAACTAGAAGGTTGTCTCATCCTGAGTATCTAGAGGTTAAAAGACTTCCGCTGTGCATCCATTAATCTCCCAAAAGATTATAGATAAACTCATCTAGTAGGGAAAAGTTCTTAAAGTTTAAAAAGCTTTAAAAGTCTATTCACCCCCCCTAGACTTTTACCTCTATCCGGAACCATCACAATGTATGGCCGAGGCTGCTATCAGTGACCCCGGATTACCAATGCCCGTGATTGTGCAAAGTCTCCGTTTAGTGAGGGCTTACCGTCTCCTTTACAGCGTTGGGTCACTGGTAGTACCTCACCAAGTGGTGGACATTCCATAATCTCGGAATCTCGGTGCCTTTTAGAGTACCTAGTTTGTAAGTGCCGGGCCGGACTACAGCTGTGATGATGTAGGGCCCTTCAAATTTTTTGGCCATCTTTCCTCCCTCATTGGGTTGGCTGGCCGTCCGTCGCCTGAGGACGTAGTCCCCCACATGGAACTCCCGACCTCGGACTCGGGCATCATAATAACTTTTGATTTGGTGCCTGTAGTTTTCTGACCTTAAGAACGCGCTCTCCCTTCTTTCGTCAATGAAGTTGAGATCGACTCGCATGTTTTGCTCGTTCAGCTCGGGGTCGTATGCTAGGACCCGCGGGGTCGGAATTGTGACTTCCGTAGGGGCTTTGGCTTCAAAGCTATAGCATAGTGAAAATGGAGTTTCACCTGTCACCCTGCGGGGAGTTGTCCTGTAGGCCCACAGAATGTTGTGGAGCTCTTCCACCCAGCCTCTGCCTTCGTCTGAGAGTTTCTTCTTTAGACCTGCCAAGATTGTGCGGTTGGCATTTTCCACTTGTCCATTGCACTGCGGGTAGGCGACGGAGGCTGTGGTGTGTCTGATTCCCCAGCTGGCCAGCATGTCTTGGAAACTCTTGGCCTCGAATTGAGTGCCATTGTCCGTAGTGAGATGATGTGGCACACCGAAGCAAGTGAGGATATTCTTGTGGACGAACCTCCTACACTGCACCTCGGTTATGCTGGCCAGTGGTTCCGCTTCTATCCATTTGGTGAAATAGTCGATGGCGACTATGATCCATCTGCAGTTGCCAGTACCTCGGGGGGAGTTGTCCCACGAGGTCTACGCCCCATCTGGAAAAAGGGACTACTGTGCTTATGGGGGCGTAGTTCACCGCTGGACGTCCTGGGGCGTTCTAGAATTGTTGGCATGCCTCACAGCTGCGTGCCATCTGTGCACAGTCTTTCGCCATAGTGGGCCAGAAATACCCCTGCAATAGGAGCTTTCTGGACATCGTGTGAGGCCCCTGATGTGCCGAGCAGACCCCTGTGTGTACCTCTTCCATGGCCAGCTTGGCCTCACTGGTATTGAGGCAGCGTAGGAGTGTGCCGTTATAGGACCTTTTGTATAGGACGCCATCCAGGAGGGTGTAGGTCGGAGCCCGGAGCTTAACAATCCTGGCCTCGGCCTGATCACCCTGGGGCAGTTGCCCGTTGTCGATGTATTCTTTTAGGTCGGTAGCCCAGTCCCTTGGGATGGATTGTACCTGATGTATGAGGGTTTACTGTATGCTTGGTGTTGACAGTTCCTCTACTTGAGCTATCTTGGAGATGTATTCAGGCGTGTCCGAGCTCAGTTTAGATAGAATGTCAGCTTCTTGATTCTGGGCTCGTGGTATCTGCACCATCTCATATATCTGGAAGGCCCCTAAGAGCTCCAGTGCAGCAGCCTTATATTCTTTCATCCGGGTCTTCTTGAGTTCAACTCTCAATGAAAGCACAAAAAATGATGGATCGACGGACCGGGGGTGACCGGAATCCACCGAGAATGAGAGTAGGAAGGGGAGCGAACTGATCGGAAAGTACAGATCGAAAAGGCCTTAGTATATAAGTCTCAAGAGTGCAATAGATTAAGCATCCCTTTCCACAAGTTGGAAGGTGATATTTATACTAAGGAGAAAGGGGAAATACTTGGAGGCCAAGCCAAAGATGCTAGTCTAATAGGAGAAGGACATGTGTAAAGTTATTCTAACAAACTAACAGCCTACTTCGATGAGAAGCAGCCGCGTGTAAAGCTGATTGGAGAGAGAACCTTTGATAGCTGGCTGATTGATTATTCTTCTAACAGAATTCCCGCCAGAAGTCCCATGCGGGTGCACGTGGACAACCTGGAATACTCCTCCAGGGCAGAGAGTGACGTGGCAGTGTCTCCTTGCGAGATAAATCCTTGCGGATCCTGTCTAAGGACTTGGCATTTTACCCTGACCTTGGGGACTACTGAGGTCGATATCTGAGAGCTCGGGCTCGTGTTGAGAGGATCCGCCCTTTTGTCCTTTGTCCTAGAGATAGTAGACTGTCTGGCGCTTGATCATCGTTGACCACATGCTTGACTCTCGGAGTCAGATCTGGTACCGACCTCGAGTGCATCGAGGTCGGGCTCATAATTTGCTGAGTCTGATTGATCTCTGAGCCTGACGTCCTCCCGACCTCGGGGTCGGGATCGGTTGACTTTGTCATCCACTGAGTTTGGTTGGTTCCTGAGCTCGGTGTTCCCCCGACCTCGGCGGTCGCGGTCGGGGTCAGCCTTGAATTGTAGACTTAGTATTTTCACGCCTTTGACGGACCTGCAATGCTTTCCATCAGCGATTATGATACCCCTGGGGTGTATGGGAATATACTCCATTAGACCTCAATTATTTGCATCATAAAATATCGAAATGGTCCACACGGAGGGGTAATTGGCCCACAAATATCTCCTTGAATTCTTTCTAAAAATGCAGGAGATTGAACTCCAATTTTGTATAAAGATGGCCTGATAATTACTTTGCCAAGGGAACAGGCAGTGCACGAAAAATCACTTGATTGTGGAATCTTGACATTAGTTAATGAATGTCCAAGTGAATTTTCAATAATTTTGTGCATCATAGTGCTGCCTGGATGATCTAAACGGTCATGCCACAAGATAAAAGAATTGTGGTCATAAATTTTAGATACCACATTTATCTCAATTGGACTGATATATGTATAATACAGTCCCGAGAAATATGCTGGCATTTTTTCAGAAATGTATTTATTGCCAGATCTATTTGTCGCTAGACATAAATATTCCTTCTGATTTTCAGACATGGTTTCAATATGAAAACCATTTAGACGCATATCTTTAAAGCTCAAAAGATTTCTCCGTGATTTACTGGAGTATAAAGCGTCTTTAATTATTAATTTTGTCCCTTTTGGGAGAATCACACAGGCTATTCCAGAACCTTCAATGAGTTTAGCAACACCTGAGATTGTATTGACATTAGCATCAACTAATGTCATATGAGAAAAATAATTTCTGTCTCAAAATGGTGTGTGTTGTGGCACTGTCTATTTAAACATTGTTCAAATCCACTTGGAGAAATTTCAGTTAACTCCATATCTTCACAAAGATAAAAATGAACAAATATTAGTTCAATATTGTTATATAAATTGCACTTCACTTAACAGTTCATTTAATTGTGCATAACTTTCACGTTAAAATAAGCACTTTAAAATTTTATTTCGAAATATACTCCATGTTACATAACACGGAGAAAATAAAGCGAGCTACTCTATTATGACTTTTAATTTACTCCGTATAAGAGAAGTAATATTTACTTCTTATTAGTTTCTACCTCATCATTTGAGATTAAAAACAATCATCGATGCCGTTATAGACGGTTATTCACGGCAATTGACATAAACATACATAATAACCGTTTGACTCAAGTTACTGTCATACTAATTGTTAAGGGCCACATCTTAACAATCAGAGACCTTGCAACTTGATAATCAAAGGTCCTTAAAGTACAAATTTTATGCTCATGATTTTTCGTTGAAAGATTGTTTTGATGAAACCTTGTTATTGAGGTTATTATATACTCTGTAGTATAGTAGCTGTATGGCTTGATGGATAAATTGTTGTCTTGGATTTAACAATACACAACACAACAGTCCATCATTTAGTAACTCGTTTTCCATGTTACTCTCCCCAGCCCCCATCAGAACTAATTAAGGTGGTTTCAGTACTATCTTATTATTGAGATCGAATACAATATACTTCGTATAATTTCAATAGAATATTACTAAGAAGAATACTTTATATGGAAACCACATGCTAATTCAGTAGTAATGCCATCTTTGCTTCTTCAACCAAAGAAATGATGAAGTAAAAATGAATATGTGGAAATGAGCGTCTTTCAAATAAAACATAAAGAAAGTAACAAATACAAATCTTAAGCACAATCTAAATGACATTATGTAACACCACATTTATCTTCAATAGCACTAAATTTCTATATACTTTGAAACTTCAAAAACTTTGAATTTCAATTACCTTAATAAACTATTAACACACTTTATATATATTTAAAAAAATAGTCTATTCTAATTTATAATACACTCCCTAAAAATACTATTATACTGATTTGGATATAGTTGAGTATACCAATATAAATATAAATAATACAAATAAATATAAATATAACTAAGTATATATACATACATATATATACACATATAAATAGGCCAGCCTATTAAGGTAAAAAGGCTTTAGAGTTGGGCTAGGCCTGACCTATTTAAAGAAACGGACTTTTAGAAAAGCCCAAGCCTAGCTTGATTACTAAACAGGCCAGGCCACAGACCCCTGACAGGCCGACTGGCCTATTTCCACCCCTAACCGCAAGGTAAGAGGTGCTTCACTACTTGATGCTCACAATGGATAAATATTTCACTCTCAATTCTTACTTTGAGCATATTTTGGATAAAATTGACAATAAACTCTCTGGGTGGAAGCACAAAATGCTTTCACCTGGTGGTAGAATTATTCTTATTCACCATGTTCTTAGTACTATCCCTTTGTACCATATGGCTGTCTCCCCCATTCCCCGTAATACTATTTACAATATTGAGAGAAAACTCTCGAATTTTCCTAGTAGGGAAAAGTTCTTAAAGTTTAAAAAGCTTTAAAAGTTCTTAAAGTTTAAAAAGCTTTAAAAGTCTATTCACCCCCCCTAGACTTTTACCTCTATCCGGAACCATCACAATGTATGGCCGAGGCTGCTATCAGTGACCCCGGATTACCAATGCCCGTGATTGTGCAAAGTCTCCGTTTAGTGAGGGCTTACCGTCTCCTTTACAGCGTTGGGTCACTGGTAGTACCTCACCAAGTGGTGGACATTCCATAATCTCGGAATCTCGGTGCCTTTTAGAGTACCTAGTTTGTAAGTGCCGGGCCGGACTACAGCTGTGATGATGTAGGGCCCTTCAAATTTTTTGGCCATCTTTCCTCCCTCATTGGGTTGGCTGGCCGTCCGTCGCCTGAGGACGTAGTCCCCCACATGGAACTCCCGACCTCGGACTCGGGCATCATAATAACTTTTGATTTGGTGCCTGTAGTTTTCTGACCTTAAGAACGCGCTCTCCCTTCTTTCGTCAATGAAGTTGAGATCGACTCGCATGTTTTGCTCGTTCAGCTCGGGGTCGTATGCTAGGACCCGCGGGGTCGGAATTGTGACTTCCGTAGGGGCTTTGGCTTCAAAGCTATAGCATAGTGAAAATGGAGTTTCACCTGTCACCCTGCGGGGAGTTGTCCTGTAGGCCCACAGAATGTTGTGGAGCTCTTCCACCCAGCCTCTGCCTTCGTCTGAGAGTTTCTTCTTTAGACCTGCCAAGATTGTGCGGTTGGCATTTTCCACTTGTCCATTGCACTGCGGGTAGGCGACGGAGGCTGTGGTGTGTCTGATTCCCCAGCTGGCCAGCATGTCTTGGAAACTCTTGGCCTCGAATTGAGTGCCATTGTCCGTAGTGAGATGATGTGGCACACCGAAGCAAGTGAGGATATTCTTGTGGACGAACCTCCTACACTGCACCTCGGTTATGCTGGCCAGTGGTTCCGCTTCTATCCATTTGGTGAAATAGTCGATGGCGACTATGATCCATCTGCAGTTGCCAGTACCTCGGGGGGAGTTGTCCCACGAGGTCTACGCCCCATCTGGAAAAAGGGACTACTGTGCTTATGGGGGCGTAGTTCACCGCTGGACGTCCTGGGGCGTTCTAGAATTGTTGGCATGCCTCACAGCTGCGTGCCATCTGTGCACAGTCTTTCGCCATAGTGGGCCAGAAATACCCCTGCAATAGGAGCTTTCTGGACATCGTGTGAGGCCCCTGATGTGCCGAGCAGACCCCTGTGTGTACCTCTTCCATGGCCAGCTTGGCCTCACTGGTATTGAGGCAGCGTAGGAGTGTGCCGTTATAGGACCTTTTGTATAGGACGCCATCCAGGAGGGTGTAGGTCGGAGCCCGGAGCTTAACAATCCTGGCCTCGGCCTGATCACCCTGGGGCAGTTGCCCGTTGTCGATGTATTCTTTTAGGTCGGTAGCCCAGTCCCTTGGGATGGATTGTACCTGATGTATGAGGGTTTACTGTATGCTTGGTGTTGACAGTTCCTCTACTTGAGCTATCTTGGAGATGTATTCAGGCGTGTCCGAGCTCAGTTTAGATAGAATGTCAGCTTCTTGATTCTGGGCTCGTGGTATCTGCACCATCTCATATATCTGGAAGGCCCCTAAGAGCTCCAGTGCAGCAGCCTTATATTCTTTCATCCGGGTCTTCTTGAGTTCAACTCTCAATGAAAGCACAAAAAATGATGGATCGACGGACCGGGGGTGACCGGAATCCACCGAGAATGAGAGTAGGAAGGGGAGCGAACTGATCGGAAAGTACAGATCGAAAAGGCCTTAGTATATAAGTCTCAAGAGTGCAATAGATTAAGCATCCCTTTCCACAAGTTGGAAGGTGATATTTATACTAAGGAGAAAGGGGAAATACTTGGAGGCCAAGCCAAAGATGCTAGTCTAATAGGAGAAGGACATGTGTAAAGTTATTCTAACAAACTAACAGCCTACTTCGATGAGAAGCAGCCGCGTGTAAAGCTGATTGGAGAGAGAACCTTTGATAGCTGGCTGATTGATTATTCTTCTAACAGAATTCCCGCCAGAAGTCCCATGCGGGTGCACGTGGACAACCTGGAATACTCCTCCAGGGCAGAGAGTGACGTGGCAGTGTCTCCTTGCGAGATAAATCCTTGCGGATCCTGTCTAAGGACTTGGCATTTTACCCTGACCTTGGGGACTACTGAGGTCGATATCTGAGAGCTCGGGCTCGTGTTGAGAGGATCCGCCCTTTTGTCCTTTGTCCTAGAGATAGTAGACTGTCTGGCGCTTGATCATCGTTGACCACATGCTTGACTCTCGGAGTCAGATCTGGTACCGACCTCGAGTGCATCGAGGTCGGGCTCATAATTTGCTGAGTCTGATTGATCTCTGAGCCTGACGTCCTCCCGACCTCGGGGTCGGGATCGGTTGACTTTGTCATCCACTGAGTTTGGTTGGTTCCTGAGCTCGGTGTTCCCCCGACCTCGGCGGTCGCGGTCGGGGTCAGCCTTGAATTGTAGACTTAGTATTTTCACGCCTTTGACGGACCTGCAATGCTTTCCATCAGCGATTATGATACCCCTGGGGTGTATGGGAATATACTCCATTAGACCTCAATTATTTGCATCATAAAATATCGAAATGGTCCACACGGAGGGGTAATTGGCCCACAAATATCTCCTTGAATTCTTTCTAAAAATGCAGGAGATTGAACTCCAATTTTGTATAAAGATGGCCTGATAATTACTTTGCCAAGGGAACAGGCAGTGCACGAAAAATCACTTGATTGTGGAATCTTGACATTAGTTAATGAATGTCCAAGTGAATTTTCAATAATTTTGTGCATCATAGTGCTGCCTGGATGATCTAAACGGTCATGCCACAAGATAAAAGAATTGTGGTCATAAATTTTAGATACCACATTTATCTCAATTGGACTGATATATGTATAATACAGTCCCGAGAAATATGCTGGCATTTTTTCAGAAATGTATTTATTGCCAGATCTATTTGTCGCTAGACATAAATATTCCTTCTGATTTTCAGACATGGTTTCAATATGAAAACCATTTAGACGCATATCTTTAAAGCTCAAAAGATTTCTCCGTGATTTACTGGAGTATAAAGCGTCTTTAATTATTAATTTTGTCCCTTTTGGGAGAATCACACAGGCTATTCCAGAACCTTCAATGAGTTTAGCAACACCTGAGATTGTATTGACATTAGCATCAACTAATGTCATATGAGAAAAATAATTTCTGTCTCAAAATGGTGTGTGTTGTGGCACTGTCTATTTAAACATTGTTCAAATCCACTTGGAGAAATTTCAGTTAACTCCATATCTTCA